CTGTAATCACCACACATTCTGAATGTGCCATTCTTTTTGGGAACCATATGAATAGGACTTGCCCATGGACTGTTGGAAGGCCTCAAAGTGCCCCTATTCAGGAGATCTTGTATCTCGGACCTGGCTGCAACAGCCTTTTCTCCGAACATCTTCCTGAATCTAGAAGCTAATGGTGGACCTGTTGTGGTTATCCTGTGTGCAAAAAGAGATGATTTATTATTGGTGGTTACCTGTGGCTTTGTTATTGCGATGTATTGTGTCAATAAATCCTTGAAAGGCTCTGCAGGGTTGACAGTGGAGATGTTGAATTGCTGTGCCTTGAGTACCTTTCCATCAGAGGTAAGGCCTGTGGTCGAATCAATCAATCTTCTTCCCTTCAAGTCTATTAATAGATTGTAGTTGCTTAGGAAATCGGCTCCTATTATGGCTGTGGCTACATCGGCAACAACAAACTGCCAGTTAAAGCTTCTGCGTAAAGATAGATCCAGCTCCAGAGTTCTCTTGCCATACGTGGAAATTCTGCTGGAGTTTGCTGCAAACAAAACTAGCTCTTCCTTGGCATGACCATTGGCAAACTTATGGGCTGGTAAAATGGATATAACTGATCCTGAATCTATTAGAAATTGGATTGCCGTCTTTCTGTCTGATATATGAAGGCGGAGCTCAGAGCAGACAGAATTTACTTCACCGTCATAACAAGCTCCAATTAATGACGGTGAAGTAAGTTTTCCGACTCGCTTAGAGATTTCAGCAGGCATGGCTCTTCACATTTAGTGGCTTTCTCACCGTATCTGTAGTGATAGTAACACACTGATCCACGAGAAGGTGTCCTGGACCTATGTCGAGAACCACTTCTAGAACTTGACTGATTGAGTTGTTCACTTCTTGATCTAAACTGGTTGAGTTGTGATTCTTGTTGATCATTCTTCAGTCTTTCAGTGTTTAACATTGCCCTTAGTTCCTTAATTTCCTGGACGCATGACATAAGCAGAGTTTCGTGGCGGTCCAGTCTCTGTTCTACTGAAGACTTGTGTGTTGTGGACATCACATGTGATGTGGGGCTACAGTGATCGACCAAAATATCGGCAACTTCCGCCAGGGCTTCCGGACCAAGATGACGAGAAACTATCAATTGTGGCCGAATATGGTGTGGCAGGCGTTCTGACCACAATTTAATTATGATGTCTTCACTGACCTCTCCCTTAGCCAAATTCATCATTTCTCGTAGGAGCTGTGATGGTTTCTTCTCTCCTAGAGTTAAGTTTTTTAATAGCTTGTCGATTTGCTTACCTCTAGATTCAGACATTCTGCTTAATATAGTGTTTTTGATATATTCGTATTTGCCTGTCATTGGTGGATTACGGAGGACATCCTGGATGAGGCGCAGTGTCTCGAAGTCTAGGGCTTTGAGTACTGCTGTGTACTTAGTATCGTCACTCCTGATCCTAGCAGACTGAAACTCGTGTTCAATAACTAAAAACCATAAATCTGGAGAGTCTCCATTGAATGGAGTGAGACGGTGATTATTAAATGCTGCTATGTTGAATTGGTCAGCATAACTGTCATGTTCATGCTCAGAAATACGAGGATTGCTAGTGTTAAAGATCGCCTCGTGATCCAGATCGATCAGAGATCTGTTGAGCGCTGTTTCGTCATTGATGGACGTAGATCGAGTCGACATGTTGATAAATATTGGTATAATTTACCTTTATTAATTTACTTGTATTTGACAAGCGTTTTCCTTTCTCCGTCCGACGTCACCAATTATGGGAACTAAGACGTTGAGAATATCTGTTGTTTACCGATTTCACCTGCACGTTCGGAGTCACCAATTATGGCGCTAGTGGGCCATATATTATTTATTAATTAATTCTTGAATGAAATCGCAATAATTTTATGTCAACTCGATAATGAGTGTTTATTAATGTCTCAATTGATAAAGATGTTGATATTACATTAAATCAAATCTAAATTTCGATCACGAGAAAATGCTCGTTGGCAAAAAACTCGATACAATATTTTTTCGATCGTTTTTAAAAAGCGCGACAATAATATTCGATCGTATCAAAACAATAATTCCTTATAGCTTGCTTGATTCCAGATCCGTATCAGCGTAGCCCAATATAATTTAATTTTGTCATCAATTGGCGTCATTCAGCTGACATCTGTCATATGGTGTTCATTCCGCCATATATATATATATGAATATGAATATATATATATATGAATATATATATATATATATATATATATGAATATGAATATGAATATGAAATCTATAAGTTACTATTAATAACTATAAGTAGATGTAAAAAATGCCGCCCCAAAATAAGTGCCGCCTGGGCGGACCGCTCCCCCCTAGATACGCCACTGCCTTGCATCAATTCTAATAACTGACCCAAATAATTATTAAATTGAAAGTTGATTAGTGTGGACGCTATTTCCTTGGCGTTTGCGGTTTTGAGCGCGAAGAGCTCGACCCACCGGGTAGCCGTATCTTCAATGATTAATACCCAGTGCTGTCCGTTTGGAGTTTTAGGAAGCGGCCCAAACAAGTCCACAGACATGACTTCAAACCTCTGTTTCATTACCGGAGTTCTCAGCAGTCCGGCTGGATTCTGGTTAGATGGTTTTTACTTTTGACATTGTGTGCATGTCTGGACGTATTTGGTGATTTGTTTTCTCATGCCGTCCCAGTAGTACCGAGAAGAGATTTGCTGGATGGTACGTTCTATTCCATAGTGTCCTGCTGTCGGATCGTCATGGTACCTCTTCAGGATCTCGCATTTTTGTTTCTCAGGTACAACCCATTTTGCCTCTTCGGAATCTATTTCCGGGGTGTAACGATAGAGAACCCCTTCGGAAATAACGTATCCGCGGTTTGTCCATTGTAGCGCTTCTTCTTCTGATTCGCTGTTTTCTAGGCAATCGATTATAGTTTTTAGAGAGTCATCTTCTAACTGACTTTCCCTTAACTGTTTTGCACCTTTAGTGTGTAAATCCACTTCTATTTGATTTATTTCTATTTGATTTACTTCTGTTTGATTTATTTCCGTTTGCTCTGGGACTAGTCGGGACAGTGCATCAGCTACGACGTTTTACCTTGCATGTATTTTATTACGAAATCATGCTCTTGTAGCTGTAATGCCCACCTCGCTAGTCGACCGCTTGGGGTTTGTAGTGACATTAGCCATCTCAGTGGTTGGTGATCCGACGTTATCATGACTTGTGATCCCTCTATATAGCCTCTGAATTTGTTCACTGCCCAAACTACGGCTAGAGCTTCCCTCTCTGTGGTAGAGTAATTGATTTCCGCTTTGGTCAGGAGCCGGCTTGCGTACTCGACCGGATGTTCTTCCTGACCCTCCCCCTGAAGTAGAACTGCCCCTATCGCATAGCCGCTGGCGTCTGTTCTCAAAATAAAAGGGGTACCGTGTTCTGCCTGTTTCAGGACAGGTGCTGTGGTTAATAACTTCTTTAATTTTCCGAGGGCTTCCGCTTGTCCCGTTTCCCATTTCCATACGGCTGTTTTCTTCGTTAGGGATGACAGGGGACGAGCTACGTCCGCGAATGACGGGATAAACCTCCGGAACCAGGAACATGTTTGTAAAAACGACAGTAATTGCTTCACATTCTTCGGCAGTGGTATAGCAATTATGGCTGCAATTTTCTCTGGATCGGTCTGGATACCTCCAGGTTGTAAAATATGTCCGAGATACTTAACGCTGGGACGACAGAATTAGCACTTGTCTTGGTTCATTTGTAAGTTGAAAGTACTCATTCTTGAAAATTGCACTTGCTTTAGATCATCTGTGTTTTTCTAAGGTCGGCGATAATATTATTAGGTCGTTCAGATATGCAAATATTTGCATGTCCTTGAGCCCTGCTCTTAATCGATCCATTAGTCGTTGGAACGTTGCGGGTACATTCCGGAGACCGAACGCCATTCTCTTGAACCGAAATATGCCGAAAGGCGTAGAAAATGCCGTTTTTGAACGAACCTCTTCGGTTACTTGGACTTGCCAATATCCTGATCGTAAGTTCAGTGTCGACATGTATTTTGTCTGCTTTGCCGCGTGTAGTAGGTCGTTTATTCTGGGTAGTGGGTATGCATCTGGTATTGTTATCGAGTTTAGTTTTCTGTAATCCACGCATACTCGCACTCCCCCTTGTTTCTTGGGTACCAGCACCACAGGTGCTGCCCACGGCGATTCGCACTCTGCTATTATGTCGTCTTCTATCATTTTTTTTATCTCGGCTCGCAGTAATTCCGTTTTATGCGGTGACATCCGATATGGCGGTGTACCTACGGGGAGGTGCGAGCCGGTATTTATGTGGTGCTTTATGATTTCACAAGGCTTGCCGGATTCTTTGAACAGTTTTTCGTGGTCCTTTAGTAATTGAACGAGACTCTTTTCTTGTTCTGCCTCTAGCGTCGTGGCTTCGATGGTGGTACACATAGGGTTGTAATACTCTCTCTCTCTAAATAATCGATGGAATTCGTTGTCCCATGCCTTCGATAGTTCCTCGTTACTAGAAGAGTTCCTCGACTGTATTTCTAGTTGCTTTTCGGGAACGAATTCGCGTCTGGGTTGACGGTCTGCGGCGAGACCCCACAAATCTTGAGAGAAGTCAAATTTCATTCCCGCAGCTTTGATGAGATCCACACCTATTAATGTTTGACTACTTGTCGCTGTCGGCATTACCAGGAACTGCATCGTCAGCCGCTTTTCCGCTACGTACCTCGACTGGGGTCACCAGAAGGTCGTCGTCGTAGGGCCGGCCATTTGCTAAAGTCACTCTAAACGGTGCAGGTCTGAATATGTGTCCATTATCTTTCAGATCTCTATACATCTGGTGGCTCAGCTGGCTTCGTCGGGCCCCTGTGTCCAGAAGCGCGTTAGTGGCACTCCCATTTATCAAGATTTGTATGACCGGCCGTGGCTGAGGTTTCGCAATCATGCACGCTGTTTTACGTATTTCAATGTCTGGTGCTGGGATTAATAACCCTCGGCCTGTGTCCTGTACTCTTTGGGTTGCCGCTTCCGCCTTCCTTTCATAGGTCCATCTTGTTTTTTTTTCTTCTCTTGAACATCTAATATACATATTTGAATGTCTTCCGTGTCCTTCGCTGGCTTCACGGGGTTACACACTGGACATATACTCCTAATTACGCCCGATTTCCCGCAACTATAACATCTGAGGAGGTTGCTTGCATTACGAGGCGGATTTTTCTGTGCTTTGGCCATCTTGCGGCATTCCGTTGCCATGTGACCTCTCCGATTGTAAAATGTACATTGATTAGAGTATGTCGAGTTGCTCTTCGGTTTCATAACTGATGCCTCGTGCATATTTTGTTCGACTTCACGAGCTTTCCGTTGTAATTCTTCGAAAGTCTCGAAGCTATCCCGAGGAATCCGTTCTCGGAATCTTATGTTTAATAATTCATAAATCATATCGATCTGTTGTTCCTCGGTGTGTATTGGAGGTGGTAGAGCTGCTAATAGGACATTTTTCTCACACACAAAAAGATCGGTCGCCGTGGTTTCGTCTTGATGCTTACCAAATATTTCCAAGTAAGTCTAGTATGGCGCCTTCTTCGGTGAGAATGCTTTTTGTAATAGTTCAAGCGCGTGTTTCCAGTCTTTTGCTTGCTCTTGTTCCCTTTCCACCATAGTGCAGCCGTATTTGTAAGAAGAAGCGGTAATCCTTTTAACGCATTTTTGTCGCTTATCCCTTCTATTTCCTTGTATGTTGCCACCCTTGTTAAGAAATGGTCCACTTGGGCTGGATCTCTGCTTCCATTGAATCGCGTATCGCAGTTAGCGAAGCTCCCACTCTTCTGTGGTTGTGTTGTCGGCTGTTGCACTGTATTTACCTGTACTACAGCGCTTAGGATACGCTGTAGCTGCTCTTCCGTCAGGCTCATCTTGCTACGTGGGCTTATTCTTCTTTTATTCAAATTAGACTCCGTCTTGCTTATCTTGGCCCCACGTTGGGCACCAATTATAAAGGGATATTTGTATTATAAAATAACTTAAACAGCTTTGGAGTAGTGTTCTTGTATTTAAATATATATATACAAATATTTACAAATTTTAGTAAGTTCTGACAAGAGGCAAGATTATTAAAGTCTTCTGTCGCTGGAAGGATCGTAGCCAAGCTTCTAGATTGAGCCAGTCACCAAACGTTTGAGTGTTTATTTCCGTGTATCTCAACGTACTATATCCATTTGGAACGTCGGTTCAGACTCTCTCAAGTTGCTTTAATAAGTGTTCCTACTGTGTGTACTAACTTATTGGCACGCTGAGAGCTGATCCGCAAAGAGACAGATTCTGGAACGGGGCTCTGGTTTTATACTCTGGAGATCCGTCGAAGCCCATCCCTCGTTGCTCTGGGGGTAGGTGATGGACATTCTCCCATCTCGTTCCATCTTTCCTGTTCGCGATGGTTTGTTCTTTTTCCTTATCTCGTCTTGGTCTTCGGCGGTCATGTCCTTTTCTGACCTGCGCTTATACTTGGACATGACCCCGTCGCGATGATGCAATTTGTGTTTGTGTGCTCATGCAATTTGTGTTTGCGTGCTCATGCAATATATCTCCTTTCTCTCATAACCGACGTGCTTGCCTGTTTCGCGCACGCAGTCGAACTACCCTCTCAGTGTGCCTCAATGCGTCTCGGTGCGCCTACAACTACTAGCGACACTGTGTCCTTAGCATGGGCCGCACTAGGGTGTTTTTAGCTAAATATTTATCAAGCTACAATTCTATTTTCTAGTTCTTTAAAACCACTAGGTGTTCTTTAAAACTTTCACCTGGAACACATTTTGATATACCTTGAATATGTTGAGATATACACACGTGGATTAGCGGAGCCTTTTTGACGTTTGTGACCTTGCTTATTATACGGTCCAACGAAAGAGAAAGAAAACTTTCTGAATTTTTCAAGAATGTAGGTGTACCAAAAGCTATTACTTCCTTTGCTTTTTTGGGGCTTATATCACAACAAATAACACATATCAAACGAACAATTATCTGACTACTTTCAGTAAACTGCCTCCTACTTCATCATTGTAGAAATGTGCTTTTTGATGTCATTCAAAAATTTGTTGTCTAGACCTTTTTACCCTATAGGCGGGGTAACTTAAAACGAGCACGTGGCAAAAAGGTTTAAAGCCTTATTATAATTTTAAAGTTATATTACAAAATATTTACATTTTTAACTAATGCTAAAAAACTACCAATGGAAGAAAATACTTTTATTATGGATTTTCAAAGATTACCGTTTTCAAATCAAGGTCATAGCTGGTTACACATCTTTTTTCCTCTACTTTTAAATATTGTTGTTAAACAATGCTTAACTTTACTGATTTTTGAAACATCGGTGGTCGACCTTTTTAACCCCGGACCTTCATATATTACTATATATTCTTCGATAAATTCTGGGAAATTATAACTAGTAAAATGTTATTCGACTAAAATAACTAAAATGTCTATTTGATCAATACCAAATTTAGGTTCTGAATTTAAATAACATAAATAAAAAATAATATAACCTAGAAAATGTTTTATAAAAACCAATGAGTATATTATATTATACAAATGAGATCTTTCAGAGCACTGTGTTTAAGAAAAATATGCCAAAAAGTGCATTTTCATATTAACATTTCAAAAAAGTTGATATTTTGAGTTTATAGTAACACTTGAGGCCCGTTTAATAACGTTTTTGTGTACAAATAAAACTACAAAAAAAACTACTAACTACAATTTAATCATTAAATAATATTCACGTAAGACAGTCATTTCTAATTGTAAGACATCCTATCAAACGTAATTGAACATCATCTGTCAAAAACGTTTCACATTTGCCACCGTCCATTGTTGTATTTAAATTACGCCTCTACAAAAATTTTCAAATTGAAAATGTAAAGATTCTACGCGATTTTGAAATAATATCTCACCTTTGCGACAATCTATTGATTAGCACGAACTTCTCAAGACTAAGACTGGCCAAATCGGCTTAGCCGTTTTCGAGTTTTACCGAATCATTTGATCGAGATATATGTACATTAGCATAATTTAAAGTACTTGTTTAGGATATTATAATTAACATATTAATAAAAATAATCATATATGTTTACAGTGAATATAATATATTTACAAAATAATTAAAAAATACAAATTTAATATTAATTGACCATATAAAACCTTCCGGCCGTCCTGCTAAAAATGACAGATTATTTAAATTTTCTGGTTTCATCTGTTGTGCCTTTCATTCAATATGAATATAGTATCAGCTTCGGAAAATAATCTTCCTGCTGGTACAGTCGTAGCTATAATGGTGGCATATTCTCGAAATTTATTATATAAATTGGAAACAATTTCCCTCATATCTTTCCATGATTCTATGGGGTTGCTTGCTAAGGGCGTGACTGGATTATTTAGATATAAATCTATTTCATCACGCCTTTTATTTTCTTTTTTTCTGGCGCTATTTTTGAAGTAAAACTTCTTTAGGCGCGACATGGGTGTAAAAACTTCTTTAGGCGCGACACGGGTGTAAATCCGTACAAATGCAACGAAAACGCCAACGTGAAGTTGAAAACTACGACGCTAGTAAGCAGCTATCGCAATTATTCGATCTAGTCTGCGAGCAAAACAAAAAATACTTCAAATGTCAAATCATATGTCAAAAACAAAACAAAATGTGTCGACTTTCACTTGAGTTTTGTATTTAGCTCGTAGTCTCTAAACATTTTTTGAAGTAAAACTTCTTTAGGCGCGACATGGGTTAGCAGTATAATTCGTGAGTTAATAAAAATGTCAGGATTGGAAGAATATTTTATCCCGTCCCCCGTGAATAATTGTAGTGCAAATGATCGCAAATAAATAATGAAACTAAGGAAAAATCTGCGCTGCGTAAGAAATGATAGCTTTGGCTATGTATGTTTTGTATGTGATCGACTTTGGCTTCAAAGTGACTTAGAAATATCAAATGATGCTCAAAAACAAATTCTTAATAATGTTTTTTGAATATTGATTCAAATAATCAGGTTGGATGTCAAACTTGTCGAAAGATATTAAATTCGGGTAAAATTCCCACTTTGTGTAAGTTTAACGGGTTTGTATTTTCACCTATACCAAATTATCTACCTAAACTAGATACTGTATCTGAAAGGTTAATTTCACCTAGGTTGTATTTCATGCAAATTAGACGATTGCGACATGCAAATAATATAGTAAGAGTATATATAAATAATATAGTAGAGTAAATAATATTAAAGTTTTCTTGAGTTTTTAATTAATTTTATATTTTTCACTAAATATTCTATAGTAAAATGCTCTGTAGCGTCTGTATAAAATTGATGTAATATCTGAAACATAATAATTTTATAAAAAAAACAGCAATAACAAGGAAGAAAAAATGTAATTTATTTGCATATATTAACTACTTTAAGGTTTACAATTGGCGGGATGGTACTTATCATAAAAACAAGAGAAACATAAAAATAAATTGCAATGAGCACATTTCACAAATGCTGTAATATTACATAAACATTTTTCACTATCGACGGTTGCCGGGAAACATATTTGATTCACATTAAAAAATGATTAAAAAAAAAGGTAAAATGACGAAGGAACTTCTTTCATATTTTATTGATAATGTTCTTAAGCCATATGTTAAAAGGGAGAAATTTTTATTAATATTAGATTCTTGGGGTGGTCATCTCACTTTCAATAATAATTTTACAAACAAAGTAGGGCAACGAACCAGTACAGTAGAAATATTATCACCCCATTGCACACCATACTGCCAGCCTTGTGACGTTTATTTCTACAGGCAAGTGAAGTTATTTATGAAGAAAATTCAAAATTGTTACCAAATTAGGCAATTAGAAAGAGAATTAAATAGAACGGAAGATGCCTTGAGGATACATTCTCTAATTCATAATCTGCGCATATTTTTTACTGGCATCAATTTTGTACAGACGCTACAGAGTATTTTACTATAGAATATTTAGCGAAAAATATAAATTTTGTTAAATACTCAAGAAAACTTTAATATTATTTACTCATGCATATATAAATTTGAATTAAAAATAATAAAAAAAAATATCATGAGTGGGATTCGATCCTCCGACGATACGCATACGCAAAAATGAGAGTGCAGTAACTTTACCACTAGGCTACAACTAAACTGATAAGAATGCACGTTACAAGCTATGTATAGCGCGCGCTGTTAAAATGCAAACTTTAATTAATTTTTATAATTAAACCGCTTTTCATAGGCCTCTAATATTTTACCAGGGTCAGTTTGGGCATAAAATCTACCATTGTGCCAAATTTCATCAAAATCCGAGACGAGCAATGCGCGGGTTCTCCTTTTTAGAGCTCCTCGTCTTTGCACTGATGCTATTTTGCGCCAAGCAGGACTCGTTGTTTTCGGGTTCGTGGTCCCAAGCAGTTAGCCATAATCCTTGACAAGTTGGATACCGTCTTGCTAGCTTTTATGCATGCACTATCGAGATGTTCACGAAAGGATAGCTTCTCATCTATCATTACTCCCAGGTGGCGCAAGGCCCTTGTCGACGTCAAAGTTGTCTCTCCTATGTCTACAGTGAATGGTTTTGGAAACCATTTTTGTCGGGTCAAGACAACCATCTCCGTTTTCTGTTTGGCGAGTTTTAGGTGGTGTTTCTCTATGGTATCGACGGTAAATAATGCTCCCTGCGATCCGACACGTTTGAATGTTGAACGACTACTGTAGTTCGGCAGCCAAAGAAAGGTCCCGATATAAAAATATTTTAACTTTTAATTTTTTGATGGTGCTCCTTTACTTGGCTATCAATGATTCAATTATAGAATTATGCAAAAAGGGATAAAACATTCTTTCTATTTTGAAAAAAAAAACTATGTGAACCTGCACTAA